GTAAAGTGCACACATGTGTCCTCTAGCTCTGCCCATACATTGATCAAACTGTAATAAATCTTCAAGTTCTATTCCCCATCATTTGCAAACCGAGAAGGTATAGATAGTGAGTGTTTCAATACGTCGTGATTTGCTTACAGCTATGGAAACACCTTCAACACTGCGTGTTTTTTATATGTGCCTGGCGCTAGTGGTTGGATTATAGGAGAGTAATCAAAAGCTTTATTCTATACTGAATGGTAACAGACCTGGCCGCGAATATCAATATATATATATACATATGAGTGATGCAGGTACATCACAATATTACATTGGGGTCGAGTTATAAATATTTATAGTATTACGTAAACATGCCAAAACATGGACAATAAACAACAAATAGCTTAGACAATCACAAAGCTGGTGTCATTCTGATACCTGACGAAGCCTTTCTTTCTTTTGAACCAACAGCGATGTAACGCCAAGATTCCATATCATCTCAATTGTGTATAGGCATTTCCATTGACACCGGGCTGTGCTCTCACACAGTAACTCAAGCATGCAGTCTGTAAAGCAGGATAGATCTCCCCACATTCTTACTTACGCCGCACTAAGCAATATTCATTGGTCTAGGCTACCCTACACAGCGCTGTAGATGTATCCGAATGGATAGAGTGAGCGAATGTATATGGTTTTACGCCGCGTTAACCAAAATGAAAGCAATATCAGGCGGGGAACATCAAAATGGTCTTTTCGTTCTGTACCATAGGAACCATTGTCCACCTCCTGCTTGCAGAACTTTAACCCCGTTAATTCCAAGGCAGAATAAATACCTTTACTAAAACAAGCATTTCGTGTTTACAGTGTGTAACATCACTGTGCCCCCCAGGCATTTGGTATATATGATATTAACGAATGGTTTTGCTGGCTCAGACGTAACAGAACGTTCACCGATTCTCTTACAAGCTGAAGAGTGTATCCCGTTGTGTGATGGCAACCACCTATTAGTTCTACATTGAATTCCGTTTCTTCAAACACAACCGTCCACTTACTTAATCGGAGATCTCTGTAACCTGTCTCTATACCGGGCAACCTAACTTACTACTTCTGTACTTTCATTACTTTATCTGTGAAAGTTCCTCACGTAAACAATCAGCTTCTCCAAGGAACATCTGGTTGCTGGCTCCACGTGTGGTAAAACTCTCTCTCATCTTTGAGACACACTACTTTATGGGATGAATGTTATTTATACTTGAGGTTTGTCAAGGGTCTTGCAAGTTAATCTCAATAGAGATTAATGAGTATTAATTAAGCCAGTTCAAATATTTAGTTTCGGACTGAAGCAGACGTTGTTCACAAAATAAACTTGCCATAAAAGAGATCCACGGCGAGTAAGCGAGGGGGTTTGGTATGGTTTACATTATCATCAAGGCTGCGTTCAAAGGTAAGGATAGAGGTTCAACAGTTTGTGAAAGCCCTATTACAATTACTTTTGTCGGTTCATCCTTCAAGACACAGTCGTCGTTTATACAAGTGTCACTTCGCTAAAAGTGGCGTAAAACCCTACTCACTCACTCGGGATCGGGCTATGCCCACAGAGCTAAGTAGCATGTCACTAGGGAGGAGCACCGCCTCATACTGCGTGATGTGACGTGGTCCTGTGTACAGCTCATCATTAATCAGATGATTTAAAGTAACGTTGGTTGCGGGGAGTAGGGCGCAAGTTTGACTTTGGAGAGTTAATAAGGATTCGGTCCTGCGCCACACTGAGTGAGAGTTGTGAGTTGGGCTTAACGCCGCTTTTAACAGTATTCCAGTTATATCGCGTCGTGTCAGCTTAATGTGTGAGGTCGCAGACGTTTACCACTTGAGTGAAACCCACGAGCACGGGTATGGTGCTGACAAACCTAGAAACATAATCGGGGCGAACCGGGATTCGAACCCACAATTATAGGTTTCTGGCGTGCCCAAGGGACGCAACTCTGAACGGCGGATTGCGGCGCCCTAGATGACTGGGCCACCCGTGCCCCCGCGCCACACTGAGCCGCATGTTACATGCTGTGTCTCTTTAGACAAGTGACTAGTTTGTCATACAGACCCTGAAGCAAATATATCCAATACAGCCCATCCAGTCATAATCATATTTGGCAAGTCTAGATTACTGCAGTATCAGGCTCTGAATTGAAGTATATCTCTTGGCTCCTTTTCATAATATTTTATAACTATAAATTAATAACTTTTCTGTCAATATTTTCATTTCAGAGACTAGATGTAAGTCTACAAGTGACTAGCGCCTCATAGACAACTTGGGTTGTATGACATTGGAGACAACACTGATCCATTGGCATTGAGTTCTGAGCATACTAGTGTGTGGACCTAGCACATTATTAATATACTTATTATTATTACTCTTCACGCAATGCTGAAGCGGATGGTATAACCCGTGACACTGATGACTGATATGACAGCATCAAACAATATGTCAAAGGTTGCCCCACGGAGCTTTTCACTCTTTGACGTAAGCCATACAAGTGAGCGTGTGAGCGACTGACTATTGTTTAACGCTACAGTCAGCATAAATTGGATCGTTGCAACGAAACGCAATACGCAAATCTGTTCAGTGAAACCTTTTTAACTCGAATTTCGAACACGTGTCGTGTTATCAGTGGTTCGAGATAAAACGGAGTGCTGATATTCGAACAACGAGCCAATATGCATTAAAATTAATTGATTCACATATTAACATAATCTTAAACGATATATATGGAACTGATGGCGTTCGGGATTCATTGTGCTAAAGCACATGGCACGTGTTCCACTTTGGCCACCTGACGGTTCCCGGTTCCAGTAGCTACGTCTGTGGAATCTGTGGAGGTGATAAGACTACTTGAGAAGGAGTTATCCTATACCTAGAGTATGGTGTGTCGATAGATCCCCAGTAACGTTGGGCGTCTGTTTGCAGAGCGACCTATCGAGCTGTGTTCAGAGACAACACAGAAACTGTCTGGTGATGGAGCAACAGTTAGGCACTTACCAAAGATGTTTTCAAGAATGTCAAGCAGTCAGGAAGCCTGTATTTATGTATTTTTCTAAACTTACAGCATCAGGAGCTGCTGCGGAAGGCAGTTGTCAATGATGTTGACACAAACAAGCTTAGCTTTAATAAATATTATACCACATTATTTCTATCACCAACTACGTCAGAGAAGGTGGCTGAATTAACCATACAGATCAAAATGGTTTTCTTTTATAATAGTGCTCATGCTTCCAACGATTGTTCTTTCCAAATTATGTGTATCTCAATCTCAATATTACCATACAGTGCACAATAACGAGCAATGATGCTGGTTTATGAGACCCATTGAGTGACATAGGTAACGTGAACACAAATGTGCAACTGTTGCAATACTCATATACGGGATGAGGTGTATCTTAGGCAGCACCAAGCACCAACACTTCACGTTATCTCTGCAACAGACTGGCAGATACATTTCATTGTTGGCATCGCTCCAGTCAAGATTTCTCTGAAGATTCCAAAGCCAAGGCCAATATACAGGAGGGACACACCTATCACCTTCTTGTTGCTCTCGTCTATTGCTATACACAGATGGAAAACCGTCCCCTCAATTATACCACAATTCGCCATCCTCCAGATGTATCAAGTTCAAAGGTGGACCTTCTATCCTGTTTTTTTCCAGAAGACACAATATGGTTCGTTCATTATTTTCCAAAACGCTTCACAGGTTGGGTGAAGGGTTATTACATAATTACCGAGAAACGCACCATAAGCCTCGCAGTAAAAGGAATCTGCATTTACAATACCTCTGTTTCTTATGTACCCACGATGTATGCTTAAAGTAAATATTTGTGTTATGTCATAGTGTACTGAACGATGTTTGGCATCCTCTGTGGTGCCAATTGCCATACACGAAGTGCGCATTTGGTGATTGTATCGTTGATGGATACAATGTACAAAGCAAACGTGCCTCTGGTTGGAACAACAAGCATTAACGATAACATTTATAGTTTCTCACATCGTGCCATTTGATGAGATTATATATCTTGTAGTTCAAATAACTTGTTTGTAGTTCTATCTAGCACCCGGCTTCGGCTCTATTTTCCATGATAACAAGCAGCGTGTTCTGGTAATTCATATTTCACAGAGTAATATCAGTTTTACCCTCTCCACAATGTTCCTCTTGTTCAAACGATCAAGCAAGGCACACATTATAACCTAGACTGATGCTTAGGCTCTGAAAATCTATAATTTTGATAGAAACAAGAAGCAAAATTTATACTGAAAGGAGCCCCAGTGAGATAGGAGATTCATTTAGGGTTATAGCATTACAGTAAGATCTGAGTGGAAAGGAAAATAACATGGTTCAGGGAATGTGCGACAGACTAATTGTAATCACTCGATCCTTATTTGTCGGGTCTTGTGACAAATATCGGCTACTGGGACATATAATTCTATCTGGGAATCTCACGGACCATTAACAGGAACCATGCTTCAAAATCAATTTCATGTGACGAACTGAAAATTCTTCACAAATCATGCTACCATAGTCCTTTTCTGTACAAAATCGGCCTTTTTATTTATTGTAAGGTTCGCTCAGAGAGTGCGTGCGTCGCCAAGAGATATATTCCTCCCATGTCTTTGACAAGAATTTACACATGCTAACCATAATGACACTTATACCTACACCGATGCAGATTTAAGTCTTTATAGAGCCATATTGGTCCAGCGAGTACCCTTCAACCTGACCTGACACGTTGTTAACAATTCTGATATTGATACATGGTTAAGACATTCTGTTCGTGCCTTCACGTATAGTGTGTTCTGGAATTGGATATTAACAGCAGGGTCCATATACAGAGCTGTGGTCTCTGTTGGCAGCAATGACCACATGTCTCAGTAGCAATTAACGGAACCCAATAGCGCACGTGTCAGCACATTTCACATCAAGAATCACTGGAATCCAAGTTGAAAGGTTGTACACTTTAGCTGAAACAGTACTTACCTTTCACGGTGTCGCCATTGCAGGTCATCTGGACCTCGTGTTTGCCCTCGGCCTGGGGTTTGTACTGTACACAGATGGTCCCATCATTGTTGTCCTGGACAACGGGTCCTTGTGTCTGCTCCGGCATGGCTAGCTGAAACCCAGCGTTAATAATAATAACAACAACAATAATAATATAAAAAAAATTAATAATAATAATAATAAGAAGAAGACATCGGTGGGTTCTGGGCTGCGTGTAGAGGGGGCAAGGTGTGTGTGTGTGTGTGTGTGTGTGTGTGTGTGTGTGTGTGTGTGTGTGTGTGTGTGTGTGTGTGTGTGTGTGTGTGTGTGTGTGTGTGTGTGTGTGTGTGTGTGTGTGTGTGTGCGCGCGAGTGTTTGTCTGAGTGTGCTTGTACTAGTCAGGACCAATTCCGATTTTAAAGTGCTACCCCACTGTTTAACATGGATACCCCACTCAGACACAGTATACTGACTCCGATCCGACCAGTCCTTGTTTTATCACCTTAACGCTGAGCGCCAGGCAGGATAACAACAAGTACAATCTGTTAACGTCTTTTGTAGGTCCGCACTGGGCATAGAACCAAACGCATTCGCCTCAAATGAGGCGGTCAAATGAGAAGGAAAGAAAGGAGACATTGGTCCGCAGAATCGGACTGGTTTCAAATGCACTATTAAACACGTAAATGAAATCGCTCTCCCATAAACAGAATTTTTCTTCTATAAAATAGATTAAAAATCAAACCTAATGTCAAGGACAATAAACTGTATGACAACTGCTCAATGGGGGGCACTGGTCGCCCAGTCGTCTAAGGCGCCGCGATATGCTGTGCAGAGTTGCGTCCCTTGGGCAAGCCAGAAACCTATGATTGGTTCGAATCTCGGTTCGCCCCTATTATGTTTCTAGGTTTGTCAGCACCATACCTGTGCTCGTGGGTTCCACCGAAGTGACAGACGTCTGAGACCTGCATCACTTCGGGCTTTCCTCCAACATTAAGCTGACACGCCATGATATAATTGGAATACTGTTAAAAGCGGCGTTAAACCCAACTCACTCACCTACTATCTGCTCAATGACCTTGTCAAAGCTGAAAATGTTACAGTGACATATATCAGTGTGTGCTCAAGCTTTCAAAATGTGAAAGGTAAAATAACCATTTCATTCGTCATGAACATGTTACCATGGCTTCGTGAAAAATAGTTTCTGGTATGGATGACAGGGAAGATTCCATGCATTTAGATCATCCATAAGTGGACTTTTAGGTTGGCCAATAAGGTTAAGCCATTAAAAAGCAGGTTGTGGGCATAACGTAACTATCAATAATGTGTCAGAGAAATTAGTCTGGCGAGGAGGTGCAACACGAAAATATCAAGTCTATTTCTGGAGTAAGTATAAGTTTACACAAGCGCACGCACTAAACTTGCTATGTTTTTTAATGTACGGGTTTTGAATGTTATCACATTTTGTGGATGCTCAGATTTGTAGGCAAACAGGGTGTCAGATATCAGCTGCACTTTGGCGTGCCGGTGGCTGGAGCAGTTGTTTGAATATGTCTGTCAAGGAAAGATGCATGGTCTCGGCTGATAGATGGTCAGTCTTGCACAGCTGGTAGTTGGCTGGACGTCAATAATAACCACTGGAATGTTTGGTGGCAAGGAATAGGATTGGGTGAATATGGATGAGGAATGGGAATGGTTTCAGGGAATTGAGGGAAATGACGTTGTGATGTGGTTGTGTTGGTAAAGGCGTGTTGTTGTGAAGTGGTTTGATGGTGTGAACTGAGTTGATGATGTTGTGTTATGTGATGTTCTGTGATGTGAGTTTGTTTAATGGTGAGGCGTCATGTTGCGAAGTGGTTTGACGGTGTGGACTGATTTGATGATATTGTGTTATGTAATGTGCTGTGATATGGCTGTGCTTAATGGTGAGGCGTTTGATGGTGCACTGTGTTGTTGTGAGAGAGGGTGATGGTGGCATGTTGTGATATGGAAGTCGTGGTGTTGGGTGACGTTGAGGTGTGGTTCGATCATATGGATGTTGTAGAGGGTTTGATGACGTGAGATGTGTTATGGAAGTCGTTGTGTTGGGCGACGTTGAGGTGTTGTTCGATTATATGGATGTTGTAGAGGGTTTGATGACGTGAGATGTGTTATGGAAGATGTGGTGTTGGGAGATGTTGGTTGTTGTGAGGGGTTTTGATGTTGTGATGTTATGTTTCGACATAGCTCAATCGTGTTTCAACTGATTATGGGGTCAACTGAGAGGTTACGTGGCGCTGTGATATGAGAGGGATTAATGACTGAGTGGGTACAGTTTTACGCCGCTTTTAACAATATTCCATCAATATCGCGGCGAATTGGGGAATTGAACCCGGGTCTTCGGCGTGTGGTAGGATAGTTCTGAGATGGATCAAGGGGTGGTTGTGAAGGGAAATGTGATGTGCTGAGGGATGATTGTAAGGCGGTTGTAGCATGATTGGATGTGATGTAGTCTACTGGTGGGTGTGACGTGGTGTTTGGGTAATTTACGGGATAGGTATGAGCTGGTTGGTAGGCTGTTCACTGGGATGCTTGTAGATTTACGTGCATAGTTGGGAGATTGTGTCAGATGATCATGGGGTGGTTGTGAGATGATTGGATGTGAGGTAGTCTGTTAGTTGGTTGTGACGTGGTGTTGGGGTAATTTCCTGGATAGGTATGAGCTAGTTCGTAGGCTGTTCACTGGGATGCTTGTGGATGGATTAACGGGTATGGTTGTGAGACTGTGTCAGATGATTTATGGGGCGGTTGTGAGATGATTGGATGTGAGGTTTTCTGTTGGTTGGTTGTGAGTTGGGTGTGGAGTAGTTTGCTGGATAACTGAAAGGTTGTTGGTAGGCTGTTCACTGAGATGGTTGTTGATTCACGGGTATGGTTGTGAGATGCTGTCAGATAGTTTCCTGGGTGATTGTGGCGTGGCTAGATTATGTATAGCTGGTGGGTTGTTCTGATGTCTGTGCTGAATGGGTTGTGAAGCGGTGTGGTGTGTGAAGGGACGATGTGTTGTCATACGATTTAATGGTATATGGTGTTTTGGTTTGAAGTTAGAGAGGGTGAAGGAAAAGATTTGATAAACATGCATATAACATTCCACAGTGGTAGGACATCTTCCCTAGGCAAGGACGTTAACTGATTATAAAAGTCCAGTTTCCACCCTTGCCGAACCAGACTGGAATTTCCAGGCTCGATCGTTGTGCCACAAGTGTCTATTACGAGTTATGTCCCTTCTATGTCCCTCCTATTGACCAATCAGATTCTCTTATCACTTGCATTTGCTTCAAACAAAATGGCGGCGCCCTGTCAAAACGATCTGATCAATAATCAAGATCTATATTACAATGTCCAAGCGAAGTGCATCAAATCACTTGGGCACCTTGATTAAAACATGTAAACTTTGCAAAATATTTGTCGACGCTCAGTTGACGGTACATATGCTTTGCAAATCCTGTAGTCTACCGAAATCTGCACGTTGAAATCCATGTTGTTTACGAACTGGATGTCAATACCTCGTGATGCGATTTTTATTGGACTATGCATAGACTCGTTAGTTCAGCCAAAATGTAACTCCGGAAGTCCAGTCTATTTCGGCAAGGGTGGAAACTGGACTTTTATAGTCAGTTAACGCCCTTGCTTCGGGAAAATGAGAGACAGGAGGACTAGCGTTCATATCACCGTCATTCATATAAGATATTTCAACGCACAAGTCGTCATGAACGTCTTATCAGTTTGAGCTTTAATGATTTTATAAAACTAAATTAATGAAATTTCCTCTATTTTACATGCTGTGTTACCAGCGATAATTTTTGATGATTGGAATTTGTCTCTTTAGAAGGATTTGCCACTGGAAAAACTGTGAGGCGGAAATAAATCCCTTCACATTATAAAGTAAATCTCTGACATTACCGTAGAATCAGTCGACCAATATCGCGGCTGAGAGATAAAAATCTCTCATGTTACTCGGAGTATTCAACGTAATTATATACCCCACAGCAGGAGATAAACTCTTTGCCAGCTGATAACATTCCGATTGCCTTTATGTTATACAATAACACCTTTCATCAACTTTTACCGGAGACGCTCGATAAACTCCGAATGTCCGACCCGATTGGCTCCACACAGGGAAGTGACGCAATGCACAAGAGTAGCGGCACCAGTTGCCAGTGTAATCAGATAGTGAGTAATTAACCCTAAGACGTGTCTGCATCGTGGTGTGCACCTAACGAGCACGCTTGTCTGTTACTGCTGTGGTTTGTGGCTCCATATGTGCCACGTCAAGCTGCAAATTCATATAGCAAGTCACGTTTGCCCACACCACAAGTATATACACGACCCTGACCTTCCAAGTGCACTGATTAAGGACGAAGTAAAATATGAGATATGACATTGCTAGACGATAACATGAATGTGTACTTTCTTTGCAAGGCAGTTTAGGTGGAATTAATGTATATCTATTTTCCAGGACATATAAATTCCTCAATGATTCACAATTATTATGTCATGTGTTTTTACCGTCAACAAATATAAAATGCCGTCATGTTTACGTCGTCAAGAACACATGTACATAGATTCGATGTACACAGGTTAATCCGGACGGTAACCGTCTTTGTAACATTTGGATCGTTTGTGGTCTGGAAGGACAGGTTTCCGGATTAACGGGGTTCGGACTAATTAGGCTTCAGTGTATGACATGTTTGAAGCATTTATCGTTTATATATTAATTTTGGTTAATGGAAGGCCTATCTCAATTGGTGGCATTTCCAACAAGTTCGATTCAAGTCATTAAAAATCTACTTTATCTGCTAACTCAAATGTGATGTTGAACGATAATAAAATAGAGATTAGGTCATAGTTTACAATATGACACAACGACGTTTTATTATATATTTATTTATTATTTATGTATTTATTTATTATTATTTATTCATTTATTTCCCCCACTTTTGGTCTTCTGTGACATATCAATACACAGTTTTCTCGTACTAGCATTCTCATTGGCACAATACAATTATCCACCTTTAAGGAATTGGTATTGGTTAACCTAACTATGCAGACCATCTCCCAGGTATCACGAATATAAGTGTTAATCATGCCCCAGAAATTATTGATATCACCAGAGACCATATTATATGGTCTCTGATATCACAGATGGGATGCGGTGGGCCATGTTCCAAACTCGTTTATATAAACTGTATGCAACTGTTAATCATACACATATTTTGATTCATAATTCCATCGAGATCTGGGAAAACGCCAAATGTTTAAGTTTATCATGTTGATAATGAACACCTTGCTAAGCTTCATCTTTAATAAAAAAGGGGAGCGACACACGTGTCTCTGATGAACCTAAACTGTTCGCGTGTTGCGATGCAGGTTGCCCAAATGACGCCATGCTCGGGTCGGGTTCCATTTAAACGGTATACCAGACACAACTCGAAAACAAAACGTTGATGAATTATCAACCACTAATCACCAGACCATATGCGGTGGCTATTTCTCGTCCCTGAAACGAGTTATGAGTGGATATGCTATATGTTGACAGGATTTAGCTTGTTGCTTTATGAGCAGGGGAGTGGGAGCACACATGGGTATTAATGCATTCGGGAGACAGTGTCGAGCAGCCTGGATCCATATATGGTCATCCATCTCTCACTCTTATCAACTTCCGCGGAAGAAAGTTCTTGATACAAGACAGCATCATAGAGCATATCATGTATAAACTTATTATTTTCCAAGCTCATTTGGGTGGCATTTGTAACTGAGTAACCTGCATCGAATGGAAACGAACTATATGCAGTCGCGGAGAGATGTGAGAATACGCCAGTTATTAGTTTTTCACGTTTGGCGGAGGGATACCAGGAAATAAGTTAAGACGACAACCTGAAGGGAATACGATACTAATTGCTTCATTACATCTAAACACGAGTTCCAACCACCAACACTTGGTCAATATAACCTTATGGCTAAATACATGATAACCATTTCTTTGAAAACATTCATCAACACATACTTAAAGCGTAAAACGTCGATGTAAACTAACAGAATTCCTCATCCCATGTTATAGGTTGGTTTATTACTGTCTAGTCTGCACTATAAACATATCTAATAAACATAATTTACGAGTCAGTTCCTCATTTTAGTAGATATTTTTGTGAGAAACGAAACCATAGAGATTGGTTATAGTGAGGCAGTTTTTAAACAGGCCAAACCTACATTTCGAGTACCCTTGGATACAGAGCGGAGAATTCGTCCAAATTTAAACAAAAGTGTCCAGATGTGTCAACTGTCGTTCTCGTGACGCAACCTTGAGACAAGGTCACCCCTAGAAGGCCACACGAGGTGCTAAGTTCAAGGTTAAATATCGCGTCACAAACCTACCTTGTATGTGTAGTAAAGCAGCAAGTAAGAGATTGTATGATGTGTAGAATATTCCCAACCAAGGAAAACATCATATTAAAAGCAAAGAAACGTTACGATAGGGAGGGTGAGACTTAAGCACCTGCATATACCTTAAAAGTAGGCTACAAAACATCCACATGCACTTTTGTTTTTCATTAAGCACATTATGAAGAAAAGCACATCAAAGTCTCCATCAACAAGATTCGCCATGTCGATTAACATTTCATGTTTTCAAAGGCATTGGACGCGACTATCTAATTAAATAAAATAAAATAGATAAATTAAAATCATTTCAAATATTGAAATCTCTAAGTACGTTACGCGTATTAAATTCGTTAGGCATTAATGGATTAAGAAAGTCGGAGGTCTTACCTACAAGGTAGGGTATTGTATAGAATCCTACTGAGCGTGTGTCCTGCACGATGCTTTGAGAAGGAGTATCTTCTGTCTTGTCGACACAGCACACAGACGCGCCGTATTCCAGCGGGTTTATAAATAGGGCCGGTGTTTCTGTGGATGTGCAACACCGCAAGTCTCCCTCAACACGAAGCAGAAAGTAATGAAAACAATTACTACTATCTCATCTGATGCAATACAATAACCTTCCTGGTGACCGTTAGGCGTACGCGACGAGAACGGCACGACTCTTCGTTTTTGAAAGTTTAATGTCTTTAAACGAAATCTGTTTCCATGGAAACAAGTTTGTTATCACTGAACTGATGATGAAGCATTTGCGGACTAGTCAAGCTAGACACTTGGTATTTATAGTGAAGATGGGTCTGGTTGATAATGCACGCGATATTGAGCACCGCGGGGGGCGATGGGTCAACTATTGAGTAACTGCCCTTTACAAATAAGGCAAGATACGATTCCCACGTGATGCTGACACGAGCGCCGTGCACGTGCTTTGGTTTAATGTATTGTAAATAGAAAATGCCACATGTAATGTAATAACAACTGATGATTGCGACATAATATCTACACGATTTCATGCTTTACAATATAAAAAAAAGAGATAGCAATGATTATGATAAAATTTGGATAATAACGTAACGCTAATAAGTCCTATAGAACACGATTAAAAGAAGAAGGGGTTGTTTCATTTCAATTTTATTTTACATACAGACCCATATGTAACATATATGACATCTATAACATTACCATGGAACTACTTGTTTACTTGTATATGGTTGAAACGGATCCAGTAAACGATTCTCTTTTGGTAAGTCCTTTATATTTTGTCAATAAAATATGTTTCAATAAGACCTTTATGTACGGACCAGCATTAGACCAATATGTACAGTTATATACAACATGTGTTTGAAAACTATTGCCTAACCCAATACAAACAACGGTTTAATATTAAGACATGAAATAAGTTTAGACATAATTAACATTTTCGTTTATTCATTTCTGGTTTAGAAATACATGAGAAATATTGCAGTTGACCAGTGAAACATATTTTCGTTATTGTTATATACATTAAAAATAAGATTTATATATAGCTGCGTTATAAAGATTTCGGTTTAAATATACACAAACAGAAAATGATATATACTATATGATAGATAGAGTGTGAGTTATGAAAGAGTATATTTCATTCATGTGGTGGGTCATTACGTTATCGTAGCTTTTAATGCCATTCAAATGAGAATAATAACTCGCGTTTCAGTTAAATGGCTATTATATCTGTGCATGTGTTTTACTGTAAATGGAGGTTGAAAACACCTTGGGTTAATCGTTTGATAGTATGTGTTAAAAGATTGTACTTCAGGTAACTTAGCTTAAGGTTCTGAAAACCAGCTTCACCACTGGCGTTTATTCGATTATAAAAATCTGTGTTATAAACGTTACAGCGTTATAAATGTATGGCTGGCATTTATTTGACACCAAAACTCTCGCCAGATAATGGCAAAGGAATACTATATCAACTCCAGGTTTCTTCTGATGAAAAGATATTAGGGAACGGATCTTAAAGAATCCATGTGTTTAGGGTAATGTTTTGTGAACCTACGTTAACCTGTGAGTTTTGGACAATAGTAAACACTAATGTTTCACTCATTACCTCTAGGATTTTATTGAAATCGGCTTTAAAGGCGTGAGTCGGTCGTATTTCTCTATATTCCTCTATGTCTTTCAATCATTATAAAAAGACACCGATTTCTTCCTAACGTCGTTTGATCTCAAAGATGAGAGACTGTGAAGAATTCTATGAACCGAAATTGATAATTCCCCACTGTACTGGATGTCATACATTGTTGTCTTGAACCTATGTTTGAGAAGATTTGGAACTTTGGGTATGAAACTTGAGTACTGCATTGTCAGGTCCGATTGTCGTAATCGACGGATCTCCAATTTCAGACTGTCTGATCGTGTGTTCTTGCAGCCACCCAGCCGATGTCTAGGCTATTTACTTAAAGGGCTCTGGCAATCCCAAGACGCCATCGGGGCGGCTGGAGCCTCCACCCGTGGTTGATTCTGCGGCCCCATGGGCACGCTATGGCACCCCTCATGACGCACTAGAAGCGGCCTGGTGTTGCCTATGACGGTAGGGGGCTGATCTGGTTCTGCAAGGCCGCCACGGATGAATAAGCACCCAACCCCCACCCCTGACTTCCACCCCCACCATCGCTCTTCCAATGAGTGGCTCCTGACCCCTCATGACGCAAAAGAAGCGGCCTAGTGTTGCCTGTGACGGTAGGGGGCTGTTCTGGTTCTGAAAGGCATCCAACCCCCACCCCTGACTTCAACCCCCACCATCGCGCTTCCAACAGAGTGGCTCCTGATTGACTGATGCAAGCTACTTGATGGATCCAGTTAGTGTCCTCATTCTCCCACTTATTCCAAATTGCACGTGAGCACGGCAGATAATGTGGCCAATTTTGTTGGCAGTAGAGTATGATTTACCACCCAGATTGTCTGTGTGTAAACATGCTTTCTTAAGAATCGAGACATTTCAAGAGAAACGTCAGGAATGGTAATTAAGACCAGAACGTTTCTGTGATCACTGCTCAGTTCTTGAAAATGAAGAACACTATCTGGTGTTTTGTAGAAAATATTTAGATGTAAGGCAATCCCCGTTTGATAATCTTTTCTTCAAAAGTAATTATTTTGAAAGCCTTAATAATACAGAAATAACGTCTAAGACCTGCATCACTTCGGGCTTTCCTCCCACATTAAGCTGATACGCCGTGATATAACTGGAATACTGTTAAAAGCGGCGTTAAACCCAACTCACTCACTAATACAGAAATATTTGGTTTACTTTCTTCAAATAATGAACGAGATAACATAGAATTGATCTGCTATCATGTATACAGCTTCAAATAAATCTGAATATTTATCATAGATAATCTTAGGTCATACAATATGTTGTATTGGTACATTGTATTGTTAACCTGACTAACTTAACTTTGTATCTATTTATATAGTTAATAGAATATTGTCCCTGTTTCTACAATGAACATTTGCGCAATAAAAATCTTGTATTTTGTGTACCGATATTGATGTATGGTCTCTGCTTCAACTGTGGCCATTTTGTTGGCAATGAGTAGGTGAATGAGTATGGTTTTACGCCGCTTTTAACACTATTCCAGCAATATCATGACAGGGGACACAGCATTGGACTTCAAGCAATTTGGTTCAAATAGTCTGATCTCATTATAATATATCTTTTGCGAAAACTAAGATTAATCATAATGTAAACTCTACCCTACAGTTACATCCTGGCATCTCGTGTGCATGAAGTTAGTTGGTGAGTGAGTGTGGTTTTACGCCGCATTTAGCAATATTCCAGCAACATCACGGCGGGGAACACCAGAAATGGGCTTCACACACTGTACACATTTCGGGAATCGAACCCGGGTTTTCGGCGTGACGAGCGAACGCTTTAACCACTAGGCCACCCGACCGCCCCCGTGTGCATGAAGACCAGAGTTGATATGGTGTTCGTGGCGTGCTGGGTAGCGGTGATGGAGGAACGCGTTAAGGTTTGTGTTTTGGATATAAACATATTTTCAAAGTGTAGGATTATGAATCAGGAATCATGACATCCTCTCAGTGAACATACATATCTATAATCTATTTGAGTGAATACCCGATGTTTATTAAACAGTGCAACACAACGCAACGCAAAACAACGCGACGCGACGCGACGCAACGCAACGCAACGCAACCCAATTGACATAAACGTTCATTTATCAGTTCTATTCTATGAGTAACAGCTTATAATGTTAACGACCCAGCACAGATGAAGCGTAACGACAAGCTGGTACTACTGATACCACAGTATACCAGAGGGGTTTCATGGGAACATATATTGCAACCAACACACAGTGTTGCATCAGTCACAGTGTCCTTCAACATCATGCATGATGTTATGCTTATACTATCAACATTTTCGAAATTGTTCATACATCTAAATAAACATTATGAACGATCAGCCACGCCGGATCGGTCCCTCATACTTAATGGAGTGGGCGGGCTGCACGCTTTAGGCGTGAATGTGATAGGAATGTCCAATACGGAGAAAGAGTAACGGTAAAAGCAGGAAGTGGGCTGATGTGTTGTTTGATGGATGCAGTTGCTGGAAGATCCCATGAGATTTCCGAGTTAAAAAGTGCTATTTGTAACAGGTGTGGGAGACAAGGAAGGTGAATCTCTGTATTCCGGCTCTATCTTACCTTGCCTCGATGAAATCAAAATATTTTGTCGCCTGCAAACTTACAATATATGAAACATAGCTAAGTATCTAAGTGTGTTTGTTTGCACTCGGAAATATGCCAGCTATATGACGGCGATCTGTAAAAAATCGAGTCTGGACCGGACAATCTAGTGATTGACATCACGCGCATCGATCTACACAATTGGGAAACGATGACTTGCATCAACCAGTTCCGCGAGCCTGATCACCCGATCCCGTTAGTCGCCTCTTGCGATAATAAGGTTTGCTGAAGACCAATTCTAACCCGGAATCTTCACGGGATGTATCTAAGTAAAAAGGCATACAGTAAATGCAGACCCATAACATATGTCAGTAAAATTTAATTTTAATATCTTAATATTTTGTCACCTGCAAACTTACAACAGTATGCGCAATGCACGATGTGTATATGTGTGACTACGTACGCGCATGTGCTCCTGAAGATTTTCGTGTCGTGAGTACGTGAGTGAGTTCGTGAGTGAATTTGTTTTATGAAACCAACGGCTTCAGGTGGGATGAGATTGCTACAGTGAAGATTATTGTGCAATCGGGCACAGGTATTGTTTATTACAAAAAAATAATAATAAAAATAGAGTGAGTGAGTGAGTGAGCATGGTTTATCCCTAGTTTGAACCGTATTTCAGTTGTATCACGGCGTATCAGCTTGATGTAGGAGGAGAGCACCAAGTGATGCAGGTCTTAGACCTTTACCAACTTAATCGGAACCCACCAGCACGGGAATGGTGCTGACAGTGCTGGCACCATACTCAGGTAGAATCTTTGAATTGAACCCACGATTATTAGTTTCACCAGTGTCTCCTTATTGCCTGTGTATGTCGATGTTTCAATGATTGCGAGTGTGCACGAATGCCATATATCTTATCGATATAATATAAATCGTTGTCACGATATTTGAATTTGTATGTGCGACTTGCCTTGTTTATTAATATTTCAACAAAAACGTAAGA